TTTATATCATAATTTACTATGGATTATAAAAAACAATTTACACTATTTTGTTAACGCTATTTCATAATACGAAAAATTATTATGAACTCTCTGTTGAATATCAAAACAAATGACTTGACAAAATTTTACAATATTTAATTTGCTCTATCAACATTGTGGTTTGAAAAATTATTATGAACTATGTGGCCACGCTTTTCTCTCTTTTGTGTTGTTCAATTTTCTATTTTTCTTGCTATTCTTTTTAGCTTCTTTGCGGTTTTCTTTATGAGCTACCATTACATAAAAAATATATTTTAAGACACTTGAATGCTTAACCTCTTGAAGAAAGAGGTGAGGAGGTACACCACTTAGGCCAAAATTAAGAGTGCGCTCCTTTGGAACTTTGTTCTTCTCTTCCTCGAACCCTCTCAAAAAAAAAAAAAAACAAGATTCAATAATAGATTTCAACACAAAATCATTTCTAAAGATCTAAGAATCAAATTACAAAATCCTCTTAAATTAACAAAAGCAAAAATGAATACATAACAATAAAAATAATAACTATTAGTATCATATCTTATCCTTTATTATTAGTCATTATTTTTCAAATGTAATATATTTATTTTTATGCACCTATATATTCTTATTGACATAGGATTACTATAAGTCATGTTCTGCCTTCCATATTCACATCGTGAATTTAAATTGGAGTAAAATATAATATTTTCATCTCAATATTTACTATATTTTATTCTATAAGATTATTTTTATTGAATTAAATATATAAATAACCATAATTCAAAGAAACATGTAAATGATTATTCAAAACTTTCACTCTCAATGGATGTACAAATAAATTTATTCTCAATGTATGCAAATAATAATAAAATTAATGATGATAAAAGCATTTCGAAGTCGCAAGGGACATACATAGAATATTAGATGTTGAACATAGCAAGCCAGATCTTCTTTTTTTTTTTCCTAAGGCTTTGTAACAGGTAATGTGTTACCAACATCAATGACAAAACGATATTTGACATCAGATTTAGCAACTCGCTCCATAGCCATGTTGACATAATCGATTGGAACAATCTCGACATTTGCCTTTATGTTGTGTTTTGCAGCAAAATCAATCATCTCTTCTGTCTCTTTTATACCTCCGATGTAACTCCCAACTATTTCTTTCCTTCCTATTTAATTTTTTAGAACTCGTTAATGCATTATTTATATTATCTTGATTCTAACAACAAGTTGGGTATCTTTACTTAGAGTATTTTCTTTTTCCATCAATTCTTAGTTAATCAATCACATTTGTTTTTTGTATTAGTTAAATATTCTTCTATCCTTACCGTCATACAAAGAATATGGATGTATTTCCAATGGCGTAGCTGGTGCACCTAACAACACAAGTCGTCCCCTGAACTTCAATAGACTAAAATATGGTTCAAGGGAATGAGCTGCAGAAACAGTGTCAATAACACCATCCATTGTCTTAGCAGCAAACTGTGATTAAGAAATTTAATATCAGAAGAAAGATATTTGAATTAAAAAGTAAAAACATGTAATTTATTACCTCTAATTGGTCAGTATCGTGGCTAACCAAAAATGCATCGGCACCCAAACGTTCTAAAGCTTCAGTTTTTTTGCTTGGTGATGTACTAATTACCGTGACTTGAGCACCCATTGCTTTAGCAAATTTAACAGCTAAATGACCAAGACCACCAAGGCCTACAATACCTACATGTTTACCAACTTTCCCCAGTCCAAAATATTTTAATGGACTGTACACTGTAATTCCAGCACAAAGTAAAGGAGGAAGAGAATCAAGTGGTACATTGTTAGGAATTCGAAGGATGTAATGTTCATTAACAACTACATGATCAGAAAAACCTCCATAAGTGATTTTGCCATCCAGGTGAATAGAATTGTAGGTGAATATCATTTCGGGACAATAATTTTCAAGGTCATTGACACAATTCTCACAAGAGTGGCATGCACCAACAATACAGCCAACGCCGACTTTATCACCAATTTTGACCTTCTTCACCTTGTTCCCAACTTCTGTCACTTCTCCAACAATTTCGTGTCTGCAAGCAGTGAATCCGTTAAAAGCATCGAACTGTTCTCATGATAACAAGTAGTAGCATGTTTAGAGGCAAGAATTTAAAGTTAGAAGTTGGCATACCAACGGATATATACGCATATGTAACGAAAATATACATATACATAATATATATATCCAACACAAAAGAGATAATTGTGATAGATAAGCTATTCTCATTATGCGAAATACCGGCTAGCGTGACCATCCAAATCTTGTTTAGTTAGATGTTTGATGAGATTGAGATAGTTTTAGTCCTTAACAAACCAAAAGAAAAGATCACAAGGTTATAATTACCCGGGAACCATAGGGTACACAGCAGTTTCCCAGATATTTTTTGTTATGCAAAGATCTCCATCGCAGATTCCACAATACAACACCTTTACCCTCACGTCTTCCTCGCCTGTTCCCCTGCATTGCAATTCAATATGTACACATATCACGCATCACCTACGCGTATACATATATGCGTATGCACAAGTGTATATTTTCGAACAGTGTGAAGAGAAACGAATTGAGAAAAGGGCCAATGGCAGAGTTTGCGAAAGGGTACCTTCTGGAGAAGTTGAAGGGAGAGAGATGACCGGAAGAGTCTCTCGCTGCCCAACCATAGGCCTTAATTGGGTACACTGTTTCTGGTGAGCGCTCTGCCATTTTCCTTTTATAGAACTAGAAAAACAAGAGAACCAAGTACTTGACTAAGTATTATACTTACGCACTCCAGAAAGATCAAATTGAGAAAGAAAAGAAGTATCAACTTTATATTTTTTGTCCAGGCTCAACGGTTTACCGATCATATAAATATATACGTCTCTGGTTGCATGCATCCCCAGGATGGGAAGAGTTGACCCTTTCTTACGTTAATTATTATTATTATAATATTTTTTTTAGTAGATCACTGATATATATTTATTTTATTTTATTTTATAAAAATCAAACTTACAAATTTTCTCGAATTCATAATTTCTATAATATAATAAATTAAAACTGGACCAAGTGGGCTGCTTCACCATGCGTGGTACAACTATTTATATAACATATGTTCATCATTATTTTATACGATTAATTCCTGATCATTAATCACCAGATCTGAAACGAGCTCATATTTGATCTGCTTTTTGTTTATTTATATTTGATCTTTATCTTAATTTTTAAGATTTAATAATTAATTAACGTGGAGATAAACGTGCTTATATTTTATTCATTATAGTTGTGGAAGATTTTGATTTCTTAGCTGTGATAATAAATTTCATTATTAATTAATATTTTATAGACTATGGTTGCAGAAGACTATAACTTCATAGCTGCATTTATTTTATTTTTATTTGATTATTAATTCTAAATAATGAGATAAACGTGCTTATTTTTAATTACTTCATAATTTTTTCTTTAAAAAAAAATATTTGGTTGTTATTGGGATCTTTTAATATTATATTTTATATCCATATGAAATGATACAACATCAAATTAAAATTCAACTTGTATGATTTTGCAATTTAATTTGATTCAATAAAAAATAATTTGGATCCAATTGATGAATCGAAGTCTAGCATGATTGCTCAAAAAATCTTAAAAAATATTGGTCTAGTTCAATATTTATAATTCAATTCAATATTTAAAATATAATTTAATTTAATTTTTAACGTAAAGTATTCAATTTTTTTTACCTTCTTTAAATATTATTTATATAGTTATTAAATATAGACAAATAGAATTCTCCTATTATATGTATAGTACGCACACAATCTCATATTAATTACAACAATTATATTAACTACATTGACTTATATATTCGTAAATATCTATTTAAATTTTAAAGAAGAATTATATATGTTTAGAATATAATTTAATTTAATTTTCAACTTATATTCAATTATAGTAGGCACTCAATCTCAATCTCATATTAATTACAGCCGTTACGTTGACTCGTTTATTCATAACTATCTATTTACGTTTGGACTAAATTTCAAAGAATCTCCCTCTCCTTTCCTTTCAAAGAATCTCTCTCTCCAGCCAGCATCGGCTGGTCTCCTCTCTCTCTCTTTCTGGCCGCCGCTCGGTCTTCTCCTCCTCCTTATCCGCTTCTCTTCCGTTTTTAATTATTTTTTCTTTTTCTTGCTTCGAGAAATGAAGATTTCTTAAGGATTAGATGTGGTTTACATCTATATATATATAGAGAAGGATGAATACGAGCACAAGTGAAGGACAAGGAAAGATAAGATGGTTATTTCCTTGTAGTAATAATAAACTTCAAATTTTATTTGCAAAATCTATCAAGTAAACATCTATAATATCATTAATAAGATATAGAAATCAAATTCCGATTTAGGCGCAGCCTCCAGTCTGCAAAAGCCGGCTTAATTAATCTCTCTCTTGTTTAATCTCTCTCTCTTCCTGTATATCTATGTATCTATCTGTCATGTCTATATATTTTTCTACGTGTGCGATACACCATTGTTAGCTATAAATCCTCCTTTTGTTCTGTCACTCATACGTACACATAGATATACAGACAAGTAGCCGTCCTCTTTGAATCAAACTAAAGAAATCATTTTTAAATACAATATGATATATATAATTTTATTTTATTCAAAATAAATTTTTAAATTTCTATTTTAAACTTTGCAATCAAAAGATATAGACGCAGAGTTAGCTTATTGGGAAAGACGTGTTTGATAAGATAACAATTGTTAATTAAGAAACCAGATGCACATGGCTAACTGGCTAGATCTTCAATTGATCTGGATGTATTGAAATATTATTTCTCACCCTCTCTCCCGATGTATATCATGTATATATATTTTTCTACGTGTGCGATACACCATTGTTAGCTATAAATCCTCCTTTTGTTCTGTCACTCGTACGTACACATACACATACAGACAAGTAACCCCCCTCTTTGAATCAAACTAAAGAAAGCAGAATGGGATTGTCACCGGAAGAAGAACATCCTGTTAAGGCCTTTGGCTGGGCAGCAAGAGACTCGTCTGGTCATCTCTCTCCTTTCAACTTCTCAAGAAGGTGATCCTACTTCCCTACCTTCTCATAATTCTTACTTTCCTTTTCTTTCTGTTTAGGTGTATTTACCTTTTCTTCTTTGATAATGTAGTCTTAGAGGAACACGTTATCAACCATTTAGTTTATTTCTCTACGAGAAAAAATCTATAATTGCATAAAATATGTACAGTTGATTGATTACATAAGTTTTTGTGAGCAGGGAAACTGGTGAGGAGGATGTGAGGCTTAAGATCTTATATTGCGGCCTCTGTGTTGCAGATCTGTTAGCAATGAAAAATGAATTTTCTGATGCCCAAACCATCTATCCTCTTGTTCCTGGGTAAGAAGATATCAGTTAATATTATTAATTTTATTTTATTATTGCAATGTAATAAATATAAAAAATGGTAATAAAATTTATGTATAAAACAGATTACCTACGATTTTACAGGCATGAAATTGTAGGAGAAGTGACACAAGTTGGATGCAAGGTGATAAAGTTTAAAGTTGGCGATAAAGTAGGTGTTGGGACATTAGTTGGTGCATGTCACTCGTGTGAAAGTTGTATGGAAAGCTTCGAAATTTTTTGTCGTAAAAGGATTTTCAGCTTCAACTTCATCGACCACAACGATGGGACTGTAACATATGGAGGGTTATCAAATCATATGGTTGCCAATGAACGTTATGTCGTTCGATTTCCTGATAATATATTACTCCATACTGCTCCACCTTTACTTTGTGCCGGAATTACAGTATACAGTCCATTGAAATACTTCAGACTTGCAGAATCAGAAAAGCATGTTGGTATTGTAGGCCTCGGTGGCTTAGGTCATTTAGCTGTTAAATTTGCCAAAGTAATGGGGGCCAAAGTTACTGTCATCAGTAGCTCACTTAGTAAGAAAATTGATGCCTTGGAACGTTTAGGTGCTGATTCTTTTTTGCATAGTAGTGACCACGACGAAATGCAGGTGTATATATATATATATATATATATATATATATATATATAGTTATATATGTTAATTATTGATGAAATATTTATTTAAATAACTTATCTATGGATATAAATGTTGGACGCGCAGGCTGCGATGGGCAGTATGGATGGTATTCTCGACACAGTTTCTGTTTCTCATCCTATCACACCATTAATTGACCTACTCAAGTCTCATGGACAACTTGTCTTATTGGGTCCAGACAACTCACTAGAATTACCAACCTTACCTTTGACGAAAGGTAAATGCATATGCATATATATATATACATATGAAAAAATATTGCATGCAGATAAAATGCTTATTAAATAAAGCTATTTTAATCTAGAACTGGTAATTAAAAAGAATTAATCATTAAGAACATACTTAAACTAAGTACTTATTTTCGAACAAATGATACCAAATTAACTCAAACATATTCCATACATATTATCAATAAATGTTCAAAACTAATATTCATACACTGACTGCATGCATGTGACAAAACAGGAAGAAAAACTGTAGTTGGTAGTGCATACGGAGCAACATATGAGATTCAAGAAATGATTGATTTTGCAGCAAAACACAACGTAAATGCAGATGTGGAGGTTATTTCAGCAGATTATCTTAATCAGGCTACAGAACGACTCGCTAAATCTAATGTTAGATATCGATTTGTGGTTGACGTTGGGAATACTTTGCCTTCTGCGAATTCCACATTTAATTAAGGATGCTAGCATGTTCCTTAATTTCTGTAACTCTTTGGAAACTTTTTCAAAGTCTTTCGCTTTATTGTTATGCATCCTAAAGCTGATGTTAAATATCGATTTGTGATTGATGTTGGCAATATCTTGCCTTCTACAAATTCCACATTTAACTAAGGATCTAAGCATGTTCCTTAGTTTCTGTAATTTTTTGGAAACTTTTTCAAAATCTTTCGTTCTATTGTTATGCATCCTAAAGCTGATGTTAAATATCGATTTGTAGTTGACGTTGGCAATACCTTGCCTTCTACAAATTCCACATTTAACTAAGGATCTTAACATGTTTCTTAGTTTCTGTAACTGTTTGGAAACTTTTTCAAAGTCTTTCGCTCTATTGTTATGTATCTTAAAGCTGATGTTAAGTTTCTATTGATAATGTCATGCATCTTTTGTGAACATTTTGAAACTTTTAATTACATGCAATAATAAAAATTAAATTATTTTTATGACATAATTACTTTTAAATTTAAAAATTTTCTAATTTAAAAATAACAATCGTCGTCACAACGTGCAAATGATACCACTTAGTTAACCTTAATTAAATATATCATACCATTTAAATTTCGAATCATATATAGCCTCTATTTTTCATTTTTTAGAATTTTGTATGGACTACTCGTTTTTCTTAAATATTTATTCATCACAGATGGTCTAAACCATGAAATATGATTACGAGAAAGTAATATAGTGCTAAAAACATCATAATCTAAATAGGTTGCTATCTATTAAATTACATTGGCATTTAAAACAAAGATAAAAGCTGAGAACTTCCATTCCGTTTCACTTACTCTAATTGTATATTCCAACTTCCCACAGCCCATGTAATTTAGATTCTTGATCCCAAACCTAATCATTTTAGCCAAATTATTTGCTAGAGAGTTCTCTTTGTGCAATATGCCAAAAGTTGATCTGTTTCAACATTCGCTTTGCTTTTATATATTTATTTTCACTCAAATATAATAGTTCGAATCTCAATATCGGTGGGTACGAACGTTAACACAATATTTTCAATTAGCAGAATATATAAATATTAAATATGTAACAGAATTATATTTTAATACACATCTTTTATGAGAGGATAATTACTTGTTACAAACAATTAAGTAATCTAAATTAATTTACAAATCTAAAATAGAAATTAACAAGGTTTTTTTCACTATTGTCTATTAATCTTGGACTTGTTTCTCATCTCCTCTCACCTAAATAAGGGTGAATTGGGGTGAGCTTCATGATCTCAGTAAGAAAAAAGATTTTATAACGTGTTTGATTTTTCTAATGTGGGGTTTAGTATACATATCAGGCTGTCAATTTAATGGACTCATTTAAAACTGATCAAATATGATTGAACAATATTGGATCTTAATAGATCGAGTTTAAGTATGAACTTATAATGTGCGGATACTATTTTTGTAATATTCTCATTGTATCATGGACGAAATGAAAATTGCAAAACTTAGTCGATATAAAAGGCGATTATGATCCCCGAATCAAAAGGCTGTCATTTATTTTTCTGAAATCCCGTCACCATAAAAAACTAGTTTCAAGGCGCCGTATTGATTCGGAAGATCCTACCGCCGAACGTGAACAAATCTCCTGCGATAGATTCAGGTACACTTATGATTATATTTCTCTTTAATTCAGTACAATGATGTATATTTAATTTTACAGATCTATGAATTTGAAAAGAAATATTATTCTAACAATTAGTATCATAGCCATTTATCGTATCGAACGTTTTGAGAAAGTTTTATTTTTGTTTTTTATTATGTAATTTTAGATTTTAGATTCAAAACTTTAGATTTTGGATTTGTTTTTGTTTAGTTGAATAAATATATATATATATGCAAAAAATTAAGAAACATATATATTAAGAAATTAAGTATTGTATATGTATATATATATATATATATTTTAAGCATGTATGTATATATATATAAAAATAAAAAATAAATAAAGCAATGGCCGACCGCCACTCTACATGAAGAAGCAACCATTACAGATTGCATGAATTTAATTTACTATTTAATTTTTTGTTTAAAATTAAAAGGGTGAGAGTTTTGGGTTTGATGAGTTGTTTATGTTTAAGTTTTAAAAATTATAATTATGTGGGCTTAGATTACAATAAGAGAAAAGATCCAATCGGCTGGCCCAAAATTCAGGTCCGTTTGGGATGGGCCAACTCGGTCTAGACTCAACTCGGCATGGACCCGACGGGTGTTGACCCAACCCAGTCAACGGTTAACAGTTGATCAGTCAATGGTCAACGGTTGATGATCAACACTTGACTGGTCAATGGTTAAAGTTGACTTTGACTAGTCAACAATTAACTCTTGAAAAAATATAAGTATTTTTTTGTTATTTTATAGTTGATTTTCTTCATAATTTAGTTTAAATTTGGTTTTAATTTTGAATTTTAATATTAGTATGTGTATATACATATTAAAATAATTTAATTAACATATGTCACCAAAGTAATATCTCTTGTGTATTATTTATTTATTTTATAATGTAAATAGTTATATGAGTA